TCGCGTACTTGTAATCCTGTTGCACACCTAAAAGAACGCTTCAATATTGGCCAATGTAATAATAACAACTTTTGCGGAGCCTGAGATCAACCAATCAAACTTGATTTACCCGATATAACAAGCTACTTTTAGGTAGCGTTAGTAAGACCTTTTAGCTCTTTCTTGTTTCCGTTTCACTTCTTTACTAATGGACTCATCTCAGTATATGATTGATTGGGCTCTTACTTGGCATGCATTAATGTTCCAACCCAAATATGATAACTCTTTCACTAAAGAAAATGTTTCCAGACATCATACGATGAAATTTCAACTCTTTCTGGAGGATTTACCCACTTTGGAATCCCTCAAAAGGACGCAACCTGATTTATATATAGAAATTCTTACCTGCCGCTTTTGTGAAGACCAACTAGAAGACTTTATGCACTTATTTATGTGCAAGAAACGCCGTTCTAGATTACAACAAATCTTGACATCATATCTCAACCATCTTATCCAAAAGCTTAAAGAAGCAGGTGATAATGCTAATTGTGCTTATTCCTCTCAAATTGATAGGATCACTTCCCTCCCTTGTTGGACTTTCTCATCTAGTAACTGGTCCTCCTATAGTCTGGTCCAAGGCTGTTTGCCCACCGTTTTCTTGGAATCCTTTGAAAATTTAGGTATTCCTCGCCTTACCGCCATGAATGTGGTTGCTGCCATTCACGTTTGTATGATAAAGGCATATGGGAATATGGGATGAACATTACTTCAAAACTTAAACAATCCTCAAGACCTAAAGGTTTGCCCAAATCTTCTTATTTACCTTACTCATCTTTACCACCTCTGACCCATGTTGATTCACATGACTCTGGAACTGATTGGTTAATGAACTCGATAAAATATGGATTATCTTGGTTTAATCACATGTCAGGTTTTATGGGTCATCTAACGGTGCTACTTAATAACAGCTTTTGCAGGATGGAGCGTCGATTTTAATAGTGGGCGCGTCATTCGTTATTATGTTAGCATAGTTGCTTCTACTTTGGTTGGAATATATCAAGGGGGAGATCTAGGAAGTGTTAGTATTAGCGATTTTTCTTATGAATTTTCTTTTAATTTTAATTTCTTTCTAGGAGACTATATAGCTTTGTTTTTAGTTAGTTTTTATTTTATTTTCTTTTTTATATATATGTAAATTTGTGAAGTTCGATAAATAATTAATAAAGATAAAGGCTGCTATGCCATGTTTACCCAAAAGTGTGACTTGAGCGATCATCGTACTTTCTCTCCCGTTGGGCTCTAACATTATATGAAGTTATTATTGAAATCTTTAGTTTTGCCCAAACTCCTTACGGCTTATATTGAGTTAGGACCGTTATCATGAGTCTTGGAGTTACCAATAATACTGTAAGATGGCAGTTCCATACGAATGTTCCCTGGGCTTTCTGAAAGGTTGAAAAGTAGTGCGTCTTGGTTCCTACACCTTTAAAGTCTAACTGGCCAAGTAGACAGGCCGGACTGGTATTTCTTGGAAGAAGCTCTTGCCCAACGTATTTCTTTCTAGTTGATGTTGTTAACAAGAGTGTTAGTCTTCTAAAATAAGGAGATGGAGTTGAGATGTATGTTTGGTGTTTTTTTCCTGAAGTTTATGTTTTTATTTTTTGCTTTTCGTTTTTCTTGGTCGCTTTTTTTGGTGTAATCTTATTTCTTTGGGAATGGGGATACTGGAAAATTTGATCGTCATGGTGGTTTGGTGTTACTAATTTTCAAAATCGACGAGTGATAAGGAGTTACCGCAGTTTTTGTAGTATGCCAATCATGGTGGTCACATGTTGGACTATCATTGGATTGACTTATCTAGGTAGATCTTAGGCTAATGGATCGTTCGCAATGAGGTGGGTATCCTCTGTTAGGGATCATTTAAAATGAGGTGGGTGCCCCTGTTGGGATTGCACAACACTAAAAAGTTCCCCTAGCGGCTGGACTGCACAACACTAAAAAGTTTCCTGAGGTCTTTGTGAAATAGGTTTGTTATTCATAGTATGTAGTCAAATAGAGGAAATTGAATTTTGTGTATTTTTGATAGCGCTAATGGTATTTGGCAATGGGATTCTTCAATCTTTAAATGTAGTGGGAGGTCTCGCTGGGTACGTATAGCATAGTCGATTCTACCAGGTTTGAGATATAATTCAGGGAGGTAGCCATAGTTATTTATATAGAGAGGGTGTTGGGTTTATAATCTTAGCATTTCTTTTTATGTATTTCTGGAAGATTATTGTTCTTGTATTAGATTAGTTCTGCAGTTCTTTTTTGAATACCTGGTCTTCTCTAAAGTAACTTGTGGCAAAAATTAATAAAATTCAAGCGCAGCTTTGTTAAACCGAAAGTGTGACTTATGACATGTTTTGGAGATATCCGGGGTTCTGTTAAACCGATCACATGATGTTATACAATCCAAAAAAGGGGGACGTCTAAAGCAGAGTGACTTCAAAAAAAATTTATTTTCTAAATAAAATTTTTTGCAATATATATATACAACCTTTTAAACATATATACTAAGTGTATTTGGCCTGCTCTGCAAGTTTACTTAGAATGACAAAATGAGTTTTGAATGCCGTTTTCGATTTATTTGACTTTTCATTTTTGTCTATCCATCTTTGGATATGATCAGCAAAAAAGCTTTTGCTAAGAAAACCAGTATTCAAAATCTACCTTTTAACCTTAAGTAAACTCGTAGAGCAGGCTAAGATACACTTATTTTATGATTTTCAAGTTTATGTTAAACTTGATTCATAAAAAATTAGTTTACTCATATTATATCGAATCACGTGATTTGACTCCGCTTTAGACGACCCCTGAAAAAGGAAATTCAACTCCTTATAAAAATGGAAATTGGGTTACACGAAATTCAAAAAAGGAAATTTTCGTGCAGATCGTTTGATTCTGGCCAGAATTATCATAGCCGTTCATCAGATTCAAACCAACTAGAACCATTCCGCAGAACTGAACCAAAACCGAACCGCTCAGAACCATTTTTTTGAGCAAACTGGTTCAGAACCGGTTAAACCGCTCCATCTCTACTTGAGTGTGACCTCCCAATTCTCGAAATATGCAACCAGTTTTCTCCTTCCTTCGCTTGTTTGAATTATTTTAAATGCTCTAGCATTGCACTGCATTAAAAATTCACATGGTTTACGGTTAGCCCACAAGGTAGTCATTGTCATATCCTCCGGAATGTCATGAATAACGGCTTGAAACTTTTCACATTGTTTTCTTTCTCGTAAAGTCCAACTTGCAGGGAACCATCTCACAGGTATACCTCCCAAGTCTGTCGTCCAATAGTTAGTGAATTGGGAAAGGGCAAATAAGGATAGTGCTATTTTGACTCTAAGAGTCTGATACTTGTGTTGTCATTTAATGGAACACTTGATAAATGATAGTATTACCCAAAATTTTAACTCTGCTATAATTTTCTGCAGGTCCCAGGTATATAGGATATCGTAAAATATTATGTCTCAGATTTGCTCTTGCCCATCTCCGACAGCTTCATATCATGTCAGTATTTGAGTGGCCTCAAGTATAGATGATTTCTTTTCCTTTTGGGAATTTTTGGCTAGTGTTTTTGCACCAGGATTTGCCGTTATTGATTGGTTCTTGACTTGTTTATCATCTGTAACACGCGCCTTTTGTTTATCTTTCTTCTGAGAAGTTTCGGGGTCACAGTTTGATCGACAGTGGTCATTTCCACATCAGGCAGTATTGGAGGCATTTCATCTACTGGATTTGGTGTTTGTAATCCTATTTTGTGATTGATTATTCGATGTATCAAGCCCATCTTCAAATGACTCATATATTTCACCCATATCACCAAATGTCATGTAGTACTTGATCGCAAAAGTATTCCAAGACCTGGACGACACATAGAGCGCTATGAAAAATATTAGTGAGAGGGTAGTAGGTTGTATATTTATAGCTTGAGCTTGTAAAGTGAAGTTCTCAGGGTTGGCAGCTTCACCAAACTTCCTTATCAACAGCTGGCCTTTATCTACTAGCTGTGATGGATTTTTATTAAATAAATCCTTTAGGAAACTGTCCTGTATAAAAGAACCTAAGAGTTCCTTTACGTTGTAATGGAATAGTTCGTTATATCCAGAAACATAGTCTAGAGTTTGTTTGAACTGTTTTCTACTTTTATCTGTATTCATTTTTAATTATTTGTAATAAAATTTAATAAAGAAGGTTATTTTTTAAAAAAAAAATTATTACACAGAAATTTTCGTAAAAATGTTTTTCAGGAAAGAGTTTTTTGTGATTTTTGGAACTCCTTATATGATTCAATATAAATAAATTACTTTAAAATCTATATTAATTTTAAGGAATTAAAGTTATTACCAAAATAGGTATTTAAACTTGCTTTTTTACTAATTCTTGAAAAATTCAAAATATCATGAAAATCATAGGGTGGTCTTACAATTTTGCAATCTGCTGTAAGCCTAGGGGGTAATCTATCTTATAAATAAGTAGAGTCTTATTAAGAAGAAAGATAAATAAAAGACACACATTACTATTGATAAACAAGTTGTAGACTAATCAAAAAAACAGAATATTTTATAACAAACGTCCATTAAGCTTTTAGGCAAAAAATGATTAGAGGGCAAGCAAATCTGCAATATAATCATATCAGCTAATTATCGAAATTGGATCAAATTTTAAACTCCAAATCATAATAATTTTGATCAACATTACACTACACCAATTAGTAAAAAAAAAATTAAATGATCAAATTTAGCGAACTCACCCTAAAATAAAAAAAAAAATATAAAAAAACGCGTCAAACCGATGAGAAGAGCCAAAAACTGATGAGCTTGAGTAGCAGAAGGTAACTGGCGTCTTGCGATTTTAATGTTGACCATTACTAATGGTAACTTTTAAAAATTTATAAAATAATATTTATAAAGTATTTAAAAAGTATTCTTATCGTTATACTTAACTTTTTAGATTATTGTAGTGGTAATATTAATATGTCAAGCACTATTCCACTCATAACTACATCAGAATTTTCCTGTTCCGCTTGTCAAAAAATATTCAAGAAGCAAAGCGGACTTTCACTGCATTTGACTATTGTGAAAAAATATAACATTCCGCGAAATAATTTAGATAATTTGTCAGAAACAAATAATAAGAATTTTAAAAATATCCTGGTTTATTTAATTCATTGCAAACTTCCAAATGGGTTTAAAAAGGGAGGTCGCCAATTAGTATCTTTTGCTTGTACTGAGCATCAGTTTTTTGATATTTTCAAAGGATATATTCACCATCGTAGCAATAAAAATATTTACAAATGTATTTTCCGAGGCACTATTGGATATCAAACATTAAGTGAAATCTTGAATAATCTATTATGGGGTCGAAGATTTTATGATGATCTGCCTCAACATTTAAAAAATAATCCATTAGCTATTGTGCTGAAGGTATAACCACTAAAAGGCGCAAATCAAAATATAATCCTAGAGAAGTTACTATTGAATGGAAGATTAAAGCTAAAAAGGATGCAAAAGAAAATTATTGTGAAGCGGGTTTTATATGTATGCATTTTTGGGTAAAACAAATTTAAATAGATATTTTTATAGAATTTTTAAATTGTTTTATTAGTGGAAAATTTATTAAAATTTTTTATCACACGTATGTATATATAATAAATAAAAATTGATTTCTAAATATATTTTAAGTACAACGGTAAAAATAAATTTAATTCGTGATCCAGATGTTGATCAGTGAAAATCCATAGATAATCAATATACATTTGGGGATAAGTGATCTTATACAATACAACGCGTTTTAGAATCTTTCATTTCCTCATATAAACTTATGCCTAAACATAAAGAATACACAGTTACATTAATTTCTTCAGGCCTAATAGTGGACGCTCTACATTATGGGCTTTTTTGTCATAATTGGTGGATTTCTAGACCTTCTGAAAAACGCGAAAATCCAATATTTCTTCACCCTATTAGATTACATATGAACTCTAGTTAATTTAAAAGACCAGGACTTTATTATTGAGGTTGTTGAAACCTTTTCAAATTATGGTCAAATACCTGGATATATTTGCAAATGAAGCATTACTAAAGGATTTACCATTTCGTGCTTTCCTATTTCCTTTAGGAAAATTAAATATATGTGTATTTGGAATTGGAAAATCTAATAATAATGAATTGAATTTTGCTGGAACGGGATATAAGACTTCTTTTATATACACATATCGAAAAAAAAGATGTGTCTTTGTCCAGGAATTAGAGGATGATTATTGTCAGGTCACGATATACTTAGGAAATAAAATATGTAATATTTATGTTGATAATAATCCAGAATTGGTATGGAAAGAAGTTGCAATTTTACAACAATATGAAGGAAAAGAATTGTTTGGGCTGGAAAATAACAAAATACAACAATTGGTTTTGTCAACACCTAGTTGTACATTAGAAAAATGGAATGATGATGACGTGATGAGAAGTATTCACATCATCTTAGACGACATATTCCAGCAATTATCAACTGGCAATTGTTATTTAATGATTGGCGTTCTGAAACATCTACTATAATAGAACTGCAAACACAATTTAAAAAATTATATCCATTTAATCACAATATCAATGATCGAGAGTTACGTGCATGGAAATCAATGTTGAAAAATGTGGGATGTACAAAAATTACTCCCTTTACTAAGAAACAATCAGAAGTTAGTAAATTGATAAGAATAATTGAATAATTAATTAATATTAACTAATATTTGTTTATTTTAAAGTGTGAGTTTTGGTCTAGATCTTCCGTTCCAACTGTTGATCAAAAAAATCTGATGATGCTATATAAGCAAAGATTTATTAATCCAATACCAGTTCATTTTCGAGATTTTTTGGGATTCATTTCGGGAGGCAGTAAATATTAACAAAAATGGGTATGATGGAAAAACTCATATTTTATCTATCATTGCTAAAAAATTTCCTTACGAGGAAATTAAAAGTAATTTGAATGTAAGTAATTTGCGCTTTTGACTGGTTTTTTGATTATCAATAATTACTAATGTAAATTTTTTTAGGTATCAAATGATGCAATTCTTTATGCACGAAATCATGCTCTCATACATGGTTCTGGTTGTCAATTTTGGAATAAACCTGTAATAACACGTGAAAAATTATCAATTGAGATGCAAGAACAATTACAGGCTTTTTTAATGGATAAAGCACATGTCGTAATGAGTTCATATAAAACAGATGCAGCAACTAATGAACCTGTGCATTATCTTAAGCAAACAAAAACAGCACTTTGGAAAAAATATCATGAACAATATCCAGATGGAATTCAACGAACAACATTTTTTACCAAGCTGGAAGGAAATAAATATATTTATCGTGAAAATTTGGGTGGTTTGTGTTTAACCTGTCAAAAATATGGATATGAAATTTTTTCAGATCTTATTGAATACATTAACAAGTATATTACACAATCTTATATACAGGTATTTATTTTGATTTATTAGTAATTTAGTAAATTTAAATACGAAATACTAAATTATTAGTAAAACTAAACTTTCCTTTTTAACATTAGAAACAACTAATAGTACGCTGTGAAAATCTGAAAAGATTTTTAAAATGTGATTATGAATAACATTTTCATGTAACTTCAAATGGCAAGACTTCCCGTTTACTTTATGCTTTTAACCAATGCACAGAATCTCACACATTAACATGTAATGAATGTCAAGAATTCTTCAACTTTTTCGCTGATATTAAAACTCATAGTAATGAAACAAATTATAATGATCTTCTTGATATGAAGGAACATTTGTTATATTATCTTGCACATCAAACAAGAAAAGTTTATTTGAACACCCAATTTAATGCCAATTTGTTAGCATTAGATGAAAAGACTGCTCTTTTTCTAGTTGATTACAAGATGAAAATTTTGCCAAAGACTGCTCGAGAAACAAAAAGTGATTGGTTTGGCAAAAAGGGTTGGTCATTGCACTCTATTTTAGTATATACAACAATACCCACTTCAACCAAACTTCAAGTACAAGCATTTGACCATTGGTCTCCAGATACCTGACAAGATTCTTGGTTTATGGCCACTTCACTTCACGCTGTTCTTGAAACATTAGACTCACGACCAGAATCTGTTATTATAATGTCTGATAATGGTGGTCATTACCACAACGCGAATTAATGATGATTATGGCTTTTTGGCCAAAATGGTATAATGTAAAGGTTAAGAAATGGGTTTTTCTTGAAGCTGGTGAAGCTAAAACGGCTATAGACTCTCATCATGCACAGGTAAATTAATATCCAATTATATGTATTTTTGTAATATATACACTAAGCTAATTTGGGTTGTTATAACAGATTTCTCATGCAATAAATCGTTATGTTCGGTTGGGATTTGATATTCAAACAGGAAAAGATATTGAAAATGCAATTCAAGATATTTGGGGAACTTCTGTAGCTCAGTTGGTACCTAATCGAGATCGTGGTATATTATATAATTATAAAATTTGCATCATGTATTTTTATAATTGTGTAAATTATTACAACTCAATATGTAAAATAAATTTTTTTTCATTATTAATTACATCTATCATTTTATTACAAAATTGTAATAAATTATATTACCAATAAAGGGAGTGGAAGTAATACGTTGCCAGGCAATTCAAATTGGTTTGAATGGCAATGGCCAACCTCTGGAGATTTTGAGGGATGTATATTTGCACTGTCTATACCCAATCTTGGACCTTGGACTACATTTACTCCTACTCAATTAGAAAAATTACAAAAGCGTGAAATTGAAAAACCTAATCCAAATATATCCACCCCTACTATTTCAAATTCTAATTGGGAAATTCCACCTCCTAATTCAGAACGTATGTATCATGGAAATTATTTTGATTCTTTACCGATTGCTTCACAAAATTTCCCATTTGCACTTTTTCACCTTCAATTTTGTCAGTTTTATTCTTTTCATATTCTTTCTTGCAATAGGATAGTATTAGTAATTAATGAGATACTACTGTAATAGATATTCAGTTCTTGTAAAAAAATTACAATCTAGAGGAATAGAATTGAATGGAAAGGAAATAAAGAAGAATTAGTAATTAATCTAGAAAAAGAATTAAATAAAAAAGTAGAACGCAAAAAATTGGGGAAGATTAATTAGCAATGATTAATGCTTTCGTTCAAAGTTTTTGATATTTGAATTATATAACATATATTATATAGAACCAGAAAGATGTTAGTAGATGTAACAAACAGCCAAACTATATGATGGTATGTTTTACACTCAATTTATTATACCAAAGATAATGAACATTTACTTACCTATTTGTTTATTCGTTATTTAGTGATGTCAAGGAAGTATATCCACTGCAAATCGGCTGGGCTCTAAAGGAGAACCAAAAATTCGGTAAAAAGGAAGCAGGAAAAAGGATGACAAATCAAGTGAGAGCACTATTAGAAGGATATTTTATGGCAGGTAATGCAGATAAAAGTAACCGTTATACCGCTCAAGATATGCAACGTGAGTTGGAAAAGTGTGCACAGGAAGGTGAAATTGATAAAGACAACGTTCCAAAAGTTACCACAATTCAAAATTAGATATCAAAAACTACCAGAGAGCATCGTGAAAAGGCTGCAACTAGAGTTTTGAATTATAATAATTTGTAAAATTAGGAATAATAATAAAGATATTGCCTTAAAAGGTCATTCGTTACTAACAATTAAAAAACATAAAATTTGCAAAAAATGAAATAATAATAGGTTTATTGAGTAGTGTATAACGTCTTTTGTGTCATAACAACCAGTGCGCATGTAACACCCTAATTTTTGTTATTATGATTGATATAATAAAAATTGTGGCACAGCTTACTTATTGAATATTTAGTATATATATATATATTAAAATCGGTTAAATTAATTTTAATTGGTTAAAATTGATGATTTTTAAATTGTAATTCCGGCCAAAATTTTCTTAATTCTGGCCAAATCCATAATTCCGGCATAAATTTAATTAAATTTAGAAAAATACATGTCAAATGTAACATTATATTTATATAATATAACACTTTAATTTAAAAAGCAAAATAAACTTATTGATCATTTCTACAGATTTATTAAAAAAAAATTCATTACTCAAACTGAGTTTTCAAGTTGGATCTTCATTTGAAATTAATGTTTTTTTATATTACAAATAAAAGAAAATAAAGTTTTGAAAATCTATACCATTACGTAAAACATCAATAGCTTCACGAATATCAAACGAAAATTAACAACTTTCAATATACAATTAGTTTCGACCCACTGAACAATTCTCACTTAATGCACAAAGGCGATTCTCTTATAACCAAAGTACCTAAATTACGCTCTGAATGTATTAAATGAATAGATAATAAATGAACGTTAATATTTCCATAAGTACTGATTAAAAACTTATGAAAATTGAAATACATATGGAATCGACCTCATTGAACAATTATCACTTAATACACGAAGGTGATTATCTTATGACCAAAGTGTCTAAATTACGTTCTGAAGTAACTGATTGTGTGCAAAAAATTGAAATTAATTGTGTTATGAATAACATCAGTAGCTTCATAAATATTGGCTAACATTTCGTATAAATTGAAATTCAAGTAGTTTCGACCTCGCTGAACAATTTTCACTTAATAAACAAAGGCGATTTGCTTATGAATAAAGTGCCTAAATACGCTCTGAAATTACTAAACGGAAAAAATAACAAATTTAAAGTTAGCATTTTTATAAAAATACAAATAACTTAACAAACTATTAAATGAAATTTAATGAAAATTTAGTTGCAAGTAGTTTTGATATCGCTGAACAATTTTTACTTAATATATAAAGGTGATATGTTTATGTCAAAATTGCTAAAACTACTACTTTAAAAAAATTTGCGTACTTAAGAAATAATATAAAATTTTGATTTTTTAAAGTTTATGTAAAATCTGTTTGAATAACCAATATTGGAAGCTTAGAAAAACTTTCTTTTCTCGCAAAATTACATATATTTCTGTTGTTAAAACTACATTTTTCTTCTTACCTTTAAAAGGATCTCAAAAAAAGTGTGTTTTTTAAAATAAACTTCATGTATATGTAAGAAAAAAAAAAATATTAGTAAAACGAAAAACTAATTTAAGAAACTGATAGAGCACATGATAATCTATTAAATTACTTTATTTGGTATGGTGTTGTATATTATAATTGATGATTAATTGTTAAATGATGTAATTCAATTATGGTTACACAAAATTTTATTATTATAAAATTGATCTACATGTTACATGCGCGGTGACTGATAATAAATCATAAAATGAATAATTTATAACCGGCAATTAAGAAAGTTCATAATAGTTTTTTCCCAAGAATCTGCCATCACCACTAGGGATGGGGATCAGTTCGTTGGCTTTATTTCAGTTCTTCGTCAGTTCCCGCTTCAGTTCTCATTAAAGTAAAATATGAGCTACATGCGTCAAATTTAAGACGCATGATTAGGAAAATTTTGATTGGTCATCAAACGATGGTTGGTCCGTGATCATCATAATTTTGATGACAATTCGATTTGGAGTGGTTCCTTCGAACTGGTTCAGAGCCAATTCCGGTTTGATTTTTAGAACAGTTTCCAGAGTAGTATAGAAATGCCAGTTCTGGCTCACTTTCCTCGGAGTCCAATCCTGGTTACCTTTTTCTTGCTATCCCCTTGTTGCTCTCCCACCGGCTGTGGGTCCAATCCTGACAACCTTTTTTTTGCTATTCCCGTTGCTCTCCCACCGGCTGTGGGTCCAATCCTGGTCATCTTTTTACATTTTTCACCTACTTATATCACCTTTTTTATATTTTTACCTACTTATATCCTACTTATCTCATAATCTAATTCACTTATATCCTACTTATTTCATAATCTAAATCTTTTATTAATATTTTCACCTACTTACCTCCAACCGAACAAGAAATAGGATTTCAAAGCCAACAGAGCCAAAAAAGGTAAGGAAATATTAACCCATCCAGGAAACCAGCCATGGAGTCAATAGAGCGGAATAGCAAGACAAGCAATTTCCCTTATACCGAGAAAAAATGTAATTGAATAAAAGGTAGGTACCAAGTAACTATACAGATAAATAGTACATAACATGGTATATACCGCAGAAAAGTTAGCAACAATCTTCGGCTGCACAGTCTCCGATCTTATGGCTATCAATAGGGAGATCCTAAAAAGCCAACAAAACCCGCACGCAGTATCAGTAATCCCTGAACTTGTAGGCCATATCCTGGAATACATTCCAAGTAGAAATTTCAGGACACATCTTCTAGAAGTCAGCCCAATCTGGAGAGCTGAAGCTGAACGAGTACTCTGAAAGCGGCATAAAAAAGCCGAGGAGGCATACGACAGGGCAGTAGAAAAGAAGGAAAAAGCAAATGATGCTCTTGGCCAATCATTGGAGGAGGAGGGTATCCTCCGTGAACTTGAATGGGAGGCATATCAAAAGGCTTGTAAAGAGAGAACAAATGCCGCAGTAGAGCATATTATGGTAAAAGAAGCTATTCGCCGTTGTAGCTTACAACTATAAGTTACTTAAGGATAGAGTATACATCGGGACGAGGATGTGCTCAGTGACTCAGATGACAATCCCGATGACTCAGATGGTGAGGAATAGTTTAGGAAGACAGTACTAATCTGTCTCCCTCTTTTTTTACCCTCATAGGGTAGGCGAACAATTAATTTTATTTTCAGAAAAAATGTAATTGAATAAAAGAGGAGTATAAAAAGTTTACAAGATGTCAACACATCAAGCAAGAAGTGCCCAACACAGACAAGTCACCCGATCAGTTCTAGCTGAACTCAAGCAGGTACCTGTCAAGTCCATCCCATATCCCCGCTCAAATGCAAAATTGCAGGAATATGAGGATGAGATCCGCCAAATCCGTGAAGCACAAGCGGCGGTAACCAATGAAGAGATAACCCGCATGATGCAAATTGACCCAGACCCACATTATGAGGTAGTCTTTGAACGTCGTGATCAGGTACGTATAGGAAAGGAGTTAACAGACTCAAACTTTACGGCTGATATTGCTATAGGAACACCTGGAGAGCATGACTATGCTTCATTTCTTACAGCACACAGTCAAACAATCCAGAATATTCTTCAGGATGAAAGAAATCGATTGGGATCAATAAAAGTAAGAATTGGAATATTTGCCACAATAAGACGTTTAGATTCTTACCTTGAGGGATTATTCGGAGATGGTAACTTTAGTGAAGATGATGGAGTAGAGTATATCTACAGATATAACATACCATTTAAAACTCGCAATATGCCAATCCTACCATCAACAGATATTAATGGTACATTTAACTTTGCATTAGCAAGAATCATGCAGAAAGTAGAAGACTATGTAAATTACGGATCAGGTTGGGAATTCTATCGTGTAGAAAAAATATTTATAGAAATCTCGCAATTCCAACCACCCACAGGAGCAGGACATATACCACTCCCAAAAGATCTTGCCACGAAAAAGGGAGTAGTAAATCCAGCTAATGATGATGACAAATGCTTCCAGTGGGCAATCCTAGCAGCATTACATCCAGTAGAAAAGAACGCAGAAAGAATTTCCAAGTATAAGGAGTATGTAAATGAGTTAAACTTTGAAGGTATCGAATTTCCAGTACAAGCTGATGAGGTAATTCTAAGAAGATTTGAGCGACAGAACCCAACTATTGCCCTCTGCATCTGTGAATGGCGTGACCACCGCCTATGCCCAATATATGTTACCGATAGGGATGATGCAGAGGGCCGTAAAATAATAGATTTAGTACTTATCAGTAACGGGGAAAAGCAGCACTATTGCTGGATTAAGAATATGAGCCGTTTAGTAAATAAACGTACAAAAGATGGACATGCAACATTTGTCTGCCGATGGTGTATCTCCCACTTCACACATCAACAAGAAATCCATGACAAACATGTAGCAATATGTCGAGGATTAAAGAAAACCCCACAAGCAGACCGAATGCCATCAGTAAAGAAAGGAAATGATATATATGAATTCAAGAACTGGAAACGCCGCATGCAAGTCCCATATTACTTTGTTGCAGACTTTGAAGCCCTAGTAATGGACATACCACCCACAGATGAAGACAAAGATAAGAAAACCAAGAAAGTACAAGAGCAAATCCCCTGCTCATACTCGTATATTAAGGTAAGATATGATGGTGTAAGTGAATCACAGAAGATATTTACAGGAGAAAATGCAGCACAAAAATTTGTAATCGAAATGCTAAATGAGGCTGAAGCAATCCGTAATGAATTCAGAAACCCAATGGAAATGATGCCGTTAACAACCCAAGAGCAAGCAAGTTATGATAATGCAATAAACTGCTGGATATGTCGTAACCCCTTAGATGGAAATAAAGTAAGAGACCACTGCCATATTACAGGAAGGTATCGAGGTGCAGCACATAGAGGATGTAATCTTGACTTATCCATAAAACCTCGTGAAATGCATATCCCAGTAATCTTTCACAATTTATCAGGATATGATGGACACATAATTATGCAAGGAATTGGTGCAATGGAATGTGAGGA